AAAAGTCTATCTTCCTCTATCAGTACCACTCTGTAGCAAGATGGGACTAGTCCTGGCACCCATGGACCAACCTGCCATGCCAGCAAAGGACATTTGGATCAGAGCCAAAACCTCACCTGATAAACATTTCTAATATTCAGATTAAACACTCCTGGCCCAAACTTTTCTCCCCATTCTTTTGCTTTGACCCTCCAGGACAAACATTCCTGTCTCCTGTCAGTATGTAACCTGGTGGTGAAGCAGCACTGCCTCGCCCTGGGCTGAGGGAATGTTGGTCACTTTACCTGGCAGTTGCCTCCTTCTCCTTCCTCCACCTCAGCACACATCACGTTCTCCCGGAGCTGTGGGATCTGCTTCAGGCACTGCTCCCTGCTGATGAGCTTCACCCGCGCTTTCTGCAGCACGTGGGATGCTGGCACAGCATCTGCTCCAGAAAGTGGGAAGAGAACCATGAACAAACCTGCAGAGCAGCTGGAGACCTGCCCTGGGACTGATCTCGGCTGAATGTGGAAAGCATCTCAGGGCAAGGGAGTCTCAGGACGCAACCACAGGGTCTTGGGGTCACAGGGGCTTCCAGGGGCTCTCCAAATGTCAGCAAGGATGAGTTTGTGCTCTTGGCTTTCTCATAGGACTGCAGAATGGTTTGAGTTGGAAGGAGCTTAAAGTTCATCCAGTTCCACCCCCTGCCATGGGCAGGGACACCTTCCACTAGCCCAGGTTGCTCCAAGCCTTGTTCAACCTGGCCTTGAACAATTCCAGGGACGGGGCAGCCACAGTTTCTCTGGGCAACCTGTGCCAGGCCCTCCCCACCCTCACAGGGACGAGTTTCTTCCTAATGTCCCATCTAAATTACCCTCCTTCAGCTTAAAGCCATTCCCCCATGTCCCGTTCCTCCAGGCCCTTGTCCCAAGTCCCTTTCCAGCTCTCTTGGAGCCCCTTTAGGCACTGGAAGGGACTCTGAGGTCTCCGTGGAGCCTTTTCTTCTCCAGGCTGAATAATCCCAGTTATCAGAGATTATTCAGTACTCTGGTGCCTCCAGAGCAGAGGTGCTCCATCTCCTTGGAGATGCCTACAGCAAAGGATTGTCATCCGTGGGCACTTCCACGGAATGCCCCCATCTTAGCTGGAAAGTCACCTGACAATCTTCTGTGTTTTAGATCTTACCATTGAGTCACAGTTTCCTGAATGTGCTGGGAGGATTTAGCTCAGTAAAATACAGAAGGAGTGAGTTTCTAATGATCTGAAGGTCTCTGTTTTATCCTTCAGACTCACGTTTGCTTTAGAGATAAATGTAGGTGAAATTAGTGGGTTTTCCAAGTAGCCCACTGGCATATTTTCAGTCTTTTGGTCACCCTCCAAACCATCCCATGATCCTGCACTGCTTGCTGTGGCCTCATCACACCATCACAACATCACACATCCCTCTCATCAGCGGTGTGCCAGGGCTGAGCACATCGACAGTGGTTTTTGGATAACAGAATCAGTGTCAGCTGAGCCCACACAGCAGCAAGAGGCCAATCTCTGGAGCTACACTATGAATTTTGCAAAGAGATGAGCTAAAGAGAAATCCTGCCACGCCTCAGAGGGACTCTGAACAGCCACTGCATTTCTGTTCCTCAGAACATGTTACCTTGGTGAAACAGGAGAGTTTCACAGCTATGACACAGTGTTTGTATTACTGTTACATGAGCAAAATGAAGACTAGGAAGGAAAATGCAGTTTCAGAGGGGAGACAGCAGCCCTTTGGAGTAGAATAGCGAGGATGAAATGGGACATTCACTCTACATCCTAGGAAGGATTGCTGAATCCAAAGGCACCGCCCTGCCCACGCTGTCCTGATTAATTCTTCTCACTAATGAAATAGTTCACTCACTATTTAGTGACATTTGTTCAGGATAGACATTTTGGGTCACAGTCAGTGCTGGAACTACTTTCATTAGGGCTTAAACAAGAGCAATTAGCAACAGCAATCTGCTGTTCTAAATGAGTGGAAAAAAAAGGGGTGGCCAACACCAGAGTCAATCTGGCTCGTGGAGGCATTAAGCCAAAGACAACCCTAGACCTTAATTTCCCTTGTTCCAGACCACTTTAGACCCAGCCTAACTGGGTGAATCATAGAATATCCTGAGCTGGAAATGACCCACAAGGATCCTACAAGATGGGAAGTGTTCAAGGCCAGGTTGGAGGGTCTTGGAGCAACCTAGGATAGTGGAAGGTGTCCCTGCCCATGGCAGGAGGTTGGAACGAGATGAGCTTTAGGGTCCCAAACCATTCTGTGATTCTATGATTCTTCTTAACCATCTTTGTCTTAATTTGGGTGCCAAAAAATGGGTCCAAAGTTTGGGCTCCTGCAGAGCAAAGGTGGCTCTAAGGTTTCAGCTTGAACACACACACCTGACTTTGCTCTGGGGGTCAGTAGGTGACTGGTTCTTGCACTGAACAGAGAATTGGTGGGTATGTAGGAGCTGTGAAGGTCTGGAAGTGCTAACCAGGGGGGTAGGGCGTGGAAGTTAGTGTGGATAACCCCTCCTGGGAGTGAACATCTCCTTGAAATGGCTCAAACCCCTCCTCCACTAGCAAAACCACCTCCTGACAGAGCCTCACCTGCACTTGTGTTCTCCCAGCCAGCAGCCCAGCAGTGCTGCCAGGTATGGATGTCACACATGAAGGGCAGGCAGATGGGAATTTTCTCCTTGCTGAACTCGATGGGAGAGCTGAGCAGGATCAGGGCTATGTCATTTGCCATGCTCGTGGTGTTGAAGTTCTCGTGGAGGATCAAGCTGTCCGGTTTGTGTTCTTCCAGCGGGACACTGAGGTTGATTCCCCCCACTACAACAGTGAGATCTGGTGGCCTTATAAACAAAATAGCAGTGGAGACATAGTAAACATGAAGGATTTGGGTCCTAAAGGTAGGTGTCTCTTCCCCCTGAGCAGGGTAGAGGGATGGCCAGCAAATGGCACAGGTAGTTCACCCATAAATTCCATGGAAATCTACCCTCACTTTCAGGTAAAGATGATTTCCAGAGGTAGAATGTGAGTGCAACCAGGATACAAATAACCCAGTTACCAACAAACAGATGGAATGGGCTGGATCTTTTGGATCACTGTGCCCTGGGCTGGCTGCTCGGGCCACACTGCCCCCAGCCAGCTGCTCCAGGCTGTGGTGCCACAGGTCCTTTGTCACTGAGCAGTCTCAGCTCTTGGACCTGCCAAATTTTGGAGGAGGCTCACAGAGAGCTGGACTCCATCCCTGGGCATTGCATGGGATGAATTTATCCAGAAATTGTTTGTTTGAAATCAGAGTCTCCATGAGGTAAAGGTGTTTTCTATGAGAAAGCAAAGATAATTTGGGGATTAGAATAAGATGGAATGGAGTATGTCACTTTTTACAAGGTGCCACAGCATTTGTAGATGGACAGGAAATGCTTGGGGCACCCAGAACATCATCATGGGTATGATGACACAAGGCTGCTCAGACCATTCCTGAAAGTATTCCCTTTCTGCTCCTCGTGGTTTCTGCACATTTCTGTGTTCAAAAATGGGGCTGTTTTCCCCAAAGGAGAAAATTCCCATTTTAAGGGCTCAGTCACATATACATTGTGTTTGACCCCAAGAACATCCATAACCTACACCCACAAGGAGGAGTGTTACCACCCCATTGTGCCTGGGCTGTCCTCCCTTCCCTGGAGTACTCACAGCTCTTTGGCAAAGCAATGGGCAGCAGTTAAAATCCACAGGGCACTGATAATGGTGCCTCCACAGATGTGCTTCCTGTGGCTCTGGATGCTCACGTGCCACGGGAACTCTCCCAGCTGCACAGATCTCCCTGTCCCGATCCTCTTGCCAGTCTCCAGGAAGGACTCAAAGGATGGTCGGAGGCCACACTCTGGGGACAAAATGAGACATGTGGGACATGTTCAAGAGTGCCACTGCCTGTGTAGCTCAGCTGGAGGGACAGGACAGCATGCAGAGCACTGGTCTATAATATGTATGAAATCATGGAATGGTTTGGGTTGGAAGGGACCTTAAAAACCATCTCATTCCACACCCTGTCATATCCCTGCAGGAACACCTTCCACTATCCCAGGTTACTCCAAGCCCTGTCCAATTTGGCCTTGGACATTTTCAGATATGGGGCAGCCACAGTTTCTCTGGGCAACCTGTGCCAGGGCCTCACCACCCCCACAGCCAGGAATTCCTTCCCAATATCCCATCTAATCCTTCCCTCTGGCAATGAGAAGCCATTCCCCCTGGTCCTGTCCCTCCAGGCCCTTGTCCCCAGTCCCTCTCCAGCTCTCCTGGAGCCCCTTTAGGCACTGGAAGGGGCTCCAAGGTCTCCCTGGATCCTTCTCTTCTCCAGGTGAACCCCCCCAGCTCTCCCAGCCTGGTTCCAGAGCAGAGGGGTTCCAGCTCTCGGAGCATCTCCGTGGCCTCCTCTGGACTCGCTCCAGCTGCTCCACATCCTTCTGCTGTTGTTCCCCAGAGCTGGATGCAGCTCTGCAGGTGGGGTCTCACAAGGGTGGAGGCTGAGAATCCCCTCCCTTGACCTGCTCCATGATCTGTACACCTGATCCTAATGTCCCTGTCCCCTCCCCAAACCCACGCTCTGCCAAGCACTGCCCCAGCAGTTTGGGGGTGGGCAGGACCCCCCCATAAGCAGTCTGGATAAAATCCTTGTTTAGGCAGTGGAAGGTTCAGCATCAGGCTGAACAAGACCACGAGGTCCAAGGAGCAATCCCAGGCCTGTTTCACTCACCCACGTGTGAATATCCTGCACGGCCACCGGCAGCAGCGGCGCTGCCGATCAGAGAAGTTAAACAGGAGATGACAAGAAGCAGCATTTCAATCCATCTTGGAACAACACTGTTCCCCAAGATTCAGAGCAGTGATGCCTCTGCAGACACCTCAGAAGCGTCTGCATTCCATGTCAACACAGCTCTCTGCCAGGGTGTGACATCACAGCATCCCCTCTTCCAGTTGACGGGGCGATTGGATGCCATCCTTCCTAAGGCCAAAAGGCATCAATGTTCCCTGAGGGAAAGCTCAGTGATTTCCAGGTTTGTGATTTCCTTTAGCTCTAGAAGGGACAGGGCAGCTGGAATTTCTTCCCAATATCCCATCTAACCCTGCCCTCCGGCAGTGGGAAACCATTCCCCCTTGTCCTGTCTCTCCAAGATCTTGTCCAAAGTCCTGCTCCAGCTCTCTTGGAGCCCCTTTAGGCACTGGAAGGGGCTCTCAGGTCTCTCTGGAGCCTGAAGGCAGTTCCTGATTGTATCTGGGACTGACCTCACAGGGTGTGGCAATAGTGGATTGGGTGAGCTGGGTGCTGTAGCCCTTTCTGGATCTTGAACCATCTTTGAAGCCCCTGGATGCTGGTCCTGCATCAGCTTCCACCTTCAACTGTGAGAAATGCTGAAGTCTTAATTAACTTTATCTCCACTTAGACTGTGCCTGGGGCACTTACTTGTATATACTTAAACAGGACCATGTTGCCCCACCGCTGGAAGTGTCCAAGGCCAGGTTGGACGGGGTTTGAAGCAACCTGGGATAGTGGAAGGTGTCCCTGCCCATTGCAGGGGGTGGGACTTGGTGATTTTTAAGGTCCCTTCCAACCCAAACCATTCTGTGTTTGCAGAAGAAAGGGGAAGCTCTGTCACAGGGCAAATTTCAAATGGTGCCAAGTTGAAAGTTTCATATCAGAGATGTTGAGGCAGCCACTCCCTTCTTCCCTGTGGGCAAGGATGGCTCACAGGGCTAAATCCAGCTTAAAAAATTAATCCATGAGGCTGAATTAGCATCTCACCTTTACTGATCACATCCCTCACAGTCTTTGTCTCTTCAGCAGCAGCTGCAAGGGGTCCAGGCCAAAACTCTACCCCACAGTAACTCCAGAAATAAATTTGTGGTGGCAAAATGTTTTGGTGTGGGCCAATTTTAGCATCAGTGGACCCATCTATGCTGATTTCTACACCAACACATCATTTCCATAAGGACAAGACTTAAAAAAACCCTCAACCAGATTCAGACTTGAGCATATCTGTATTAAGGACAGAATGTTAGTTTTCCCAAAGACTTTCCAGCTTGTTTCAAGACAATAACATGGAGTAGGAAGGGAGGGAGGGGAATTTTATAAAGCCCCCAAATGATTCAGAAATGTTTTGCCTCGGAGCAAATCCGGAGTTATCCCACTGAAATCTCAACTAACAATGCACAGGATGAAAGTAATACTTTATTTTCCTCTCCTCTTTGCTTTTCTGTCACCTCATGCCAAGGAAATTAGACAGAAGTGTTGGTTACCTTGGCAGTGAGCACTGGAACAACTACATGGCATGACACATTAAGGACAGGATCAGTTACCACAGCAACTCGAAATCCCCAGTGGGACGTGGGCACATTTTGGGGCATCTCCAGAAGAGCCTAACATGCCAGAGATAGCTCCTGTGAGCTTTCCCCAGGACTAAAAGGACTGTTTTCCTCTGGATTTTGAGACTGGAACGAACTCAACATCAGCTGAGGAGCAAGGGAAGACGGGGAGTTAATTTTTCTGGCACATATTTACTGTCCATCTTTGGATAAAGCAGGAAGGGCTTCAGCAATGGATTTAAAGCCCAAACTGACTCTCTGGTTCCCATTTTCAGTCCCTCCAAGTTTGGAGCTCCACCTGGTCTGCTGGGTAGGTACAGGAGATGTTCAGGAGCTGGTTTGGGCCTTTCTGAGCTTAAAATATGAGTTGGAAACATCAAACCAAGATGTGGAGAGGAGTGCCCTGGAGAGCTCAGCAGGAGGAAATGCTGTGGATTTGTGCCTCTGGCCCTCAAAAATGAACTTTAGAGCCCAGAATGGATGGATCAAGGTGGGCTCCTACAAGCTTTACCTAAGAAAGCACACCTGCAAGAGGACAAACCATTGGCACATGTTCTTCAAACTCAGTGATCACGACAGCCTCCAAAATAGGGAACACATGAGAGGCTCAAACTCACGCTTCCCACTGGGAAGCATTACAAGCAGCAATTTGGGACAAACCAATTCCCAACCCTCCTAAAGAAGCTGTTTGTCCCAGGATATTCCACAGCATGGAATGATAGAATAGCCCGAGTTGGAACGGACCCCCAAGGATCATCAAGTCCAACTCCTGGCCCTGCACAGGACAGGCCCGACAATCCCCACTGTGTGCCTGAGAGTTGTCCAAGCGCTCCTTGAACTCTGAACCCACAGGATCCCATATCCATTTTCTCCCCAGTATCCCATCTAACCCTGCCCTCTGGCAGTGGGAAGCCATTCCCCCTTGTCCTGTCCCTCCATGCTCTAGTTAATATGCACAATAATACAGATTTCAAAGTCCTGGTGTTTAATTAGCAAACCGCAGCCTTTTATAATACTTGATTTTTTTTTTTTTAAATCTACCCAGATATACTTGGAACACACCACAGACAACATTTTTCTTTTCTTTTTCTGTAATTTATTGCAGTGCAGGAAACAAAACTGATTTCTTTTTGTTTTGGAACTGTCAAGAAGCAGCAACACATTACAATTTGTACTTCCTCTTACTAAAATTATTTCAGAAAACAGGCACTAGAGGTGATCCTAGAAAGCAGAGTTGTGGGACAATTACTTATCAGCTCATCATTCCCAAAGACACCAAATTACAGGGTGGTGATAGTTAAAGAGCCCAACCATGTCTCCAGAAGTCAAAGCTCTCAAAACACCCACAAATTCCTCAATCCGAGGAAATCAACATTTCTGAAGGCATGAGCTGTGCCAAAGCAGTTATGGATGCAACCACCTCCTAATTCCTCCTTTTAACAGCACTTGGAGCCAAACTTGGAGAAGTTTGAATCTCTTTCCACCTCTCCATATTCCAAGGAAACCCTGTGAACTCCCCAGAGCAAGAAGCAATTTCTGCCTCTAATTTGGTTTTTAATGTCGATGAATGAGAAGCTGCTCCAATCACGGGAAACCTCCTCAACAGATCCCCAAATCTTTATGCGTTGATGGTGTGGATGCTGTGGAGCATCTATCAGGGTCAACGGGCTTTTCCCAAACTCCCTAAAACAAAATTTTTGCCTCTAATTTGGTTTTTAATGCCGATGAATGCGAAGCGGCTCCGATCATGGAAAACCTCCCCGACAGATTCCCAAATCTTTATGCACTGATGGTGTGGCTGCACTGGAGCATCTACCAGGGTTGACGGTCTTTTCCCAAACTCCCTAAAACAAAATTTTTGCCTTTAATTTGGTTTTTAATGCCGATGAATGCGAAGTGGCTCCGATCATGGAAAACCTCCCCAACAGATTCCCAAATCTTTACGCACTGGCTGCACTGGAGCATCTACCAGGGTTGATGGTCTTTTCCCAAACTCCCTAAGCCAAAGTGGAGGTGGTGGAGTAAGCAGAGGCTATTTCTTGACGCCGACGGGGCAGGAAATCCCCGTCCCCCCGAGGCCGCAGTATCCGCCGGGATTCTTGCTGAGGTACTGCTGGTGATAATCCTCGGCGTAATAAAACTCGGGAGCCTCCCGGATTTCCGTGGTGATGGGACCGAAGCCTCCCTCCGTCAATGCCTGTCAGGAAAGACGATGGAAAGCCATTAGTGGTTTGCTGGCTGCTCTGCTGATGAAATGACATCAGGTTTCCTCCCAGAAGGAGCCACAGGCAGCTCTGGATCCCATTTGCAGCACATCCCTGAAAGCCCTTTATCCCTGCTCTCCTGTTGTTTTGCTCAGAGACATTGCAGGCTCCAAAGCACGCACTGGGGAGGCCCCATCCCCTCTTAATGGCTCATTTGGTTAATTTGCTGTGGCCACACATTTATTCTCTTTATTAACCCTGCCAGGGTCTTTCAACAGGAGTGGAAAACAAATGTGAGAGCACACCCTGACCCATCCTGGCCGTGCCTTGCAGTGCCCAAAAAACCTCACCTGGCAGGTGCCTCAGCTTCAAAATGTGTAATCCACCCCTATGTCCTCATGCCAAGAAGAATTTCTGGGTGAAATTTTAACCCCACTGGGAAATAAGAGCATTGAGGATTTTTTCACAGAGTTGTTGCATCCCCGTTCTTCAAAAAGACCAGTTCCATCCTGCCCAGAAAGGCAGTGTTAAGGCAAATTGTGGCTCATTTCAGAAAGATTTGCCAACACATGGACCAGGAGCAATAATCACTTTGCAGGAAAAGAAGACAGAATGTGGGTGGGGATTTTAAATTTAACTTCAATTTCTTTCTGATCTCTCCTAACTGAGTTTGGAACTCCTGAGAGGTTTCTGACAGAGGGAATTTCTTTTTAAGACGGATTGTTGTGGTATTTTCCCTACTGCATTGTCCTTTTCTAAGGAAAAAGGTAAACACCAACTTTTTGGAGCCAATTCTCATCTCAGTGGGGACATAACTTGTGCTCACTGAAGTCAACACAAACCTAATAAGCACTTTAATTAGTGTCAGGCTCCTGTTGAAAATTATATTTTTAAAGTCCTGGATGCAGATAGAACTGATTGCAATCAGCCAGATTGACAGTAAGATCAACTATACGCAAGAAGGGTCAGCATTTAGGATTACCAGGAAAATATGTGTTATCTCATCATACTAATAAATAAACCAAATATAGGGAAATCATCACATGGAATCACAAAACAGAGTTGGTTATAAATCATCAAGTCCAACTTCTTTCATCATAATAGAATGAATGACAATGCTTTGATCCCAACAAACATTTGTTATGAGAGATCTTTGGAGATGGGGATCTTCCAGTCTCCTAAAGGAGACCACTCCAATATTTGCCACCCAGTTAGACAGTTTTTCCTAAAGCCTAGCCCAGTTAAACCCACTACTTTAATTTAAACCCACTGTTTTGGTTGTACTCATCATGGATGTGGAAAGGAAATAATTCCCTTCCTCTTTACAATGATCTTCTACATGTAATGGAAAGATGACATGTAATGGAAATAATGGAAATAATGCCAGCTGGCACTTAAATAACAGGACCAAAAAGTCCCAAATTTGGGACCAAAAAGTCTTCCAATTTCCTACAAGTTTTTCTAGATCCTGCCTCAACACAGCTAAGCTCTGACCACACTCTGACTGCAGCTCCTAGACTTTGTAGAGCATTAGTCTGATTTATTCCCATCATTTCACTGCCTGGAGGATAAATTTTGCTGTATTCAGTTTTCAAAATCTGTGACTGACCTGTCTGGAGAGCCCCTGAGTTCCCAACCCCACATCTAAATTCTCAGCCCATCTTAGGATGACTTTGACGAGTTAATTAATTGTGTTTGAACACTGGGGAGGAGGGGGGGGGGGTAACAAGCCCAATTTCACAGGAATCTGCGCTTATTTCCCCATGTAAAATCACCAAACAGTGTTTTTCATCTCTGGGATACACTTTGTCCCAAGGGAATCAGGTTATTTACCCGTCAGACACGTCAGTGAGGAAGATAAAAAACATGAAGGTTCGTATCACAACACGTCGGCAACGAAGAACTCGAAAGAGGTGTCAACACAACTGCTTTTCTAAAGCACTGTTTCACTTACTTTCCAACCTTCCCAGCAAAGAAAAACACTTTTGAAATTATCTTCACTCCAGAAAGATGGCACAAAATCTGTCATCATGGGCATTAGTCATTCCTTGCTGCTGCAAATCCATGCAAAATTGGTTCTCCCCCTTAACTGAGTCATGAGGACGCTGCTGGAGGGGGAGAGATTTTTTCCACTGTGCAAAACAGTATTTGTTACACATTTTTCACCTGGGACTTTTCCATCATTGGCCTCATTTTGTCAGTTAGGGAGCCCATTCCGTTCGACAACGTACCACAAGGGGGCATGAACAGCATTTCTCCCTTTCAGAATCGCCAACACTCTGTTCAAACACCCAATAAAGCAGAAGCCCAAGACGACTCATTATAGTGCACTTTGGTCATTAGCAAAAGATCCCAGCCCTGTTGTCAGAAGCAGTGGGAACCCCAAGCTCCTACACTCTGCCAAACACCTGGAATGTTTGGATTTTAAAGGGGAAAACACTTTCCTTTTCCTCACTGTGTCGACTGAAGATAAAAACATCACTGGGAAAGGCGGAGAAGTTCACGACGTGCTGGCTCTGGCAGGTGTAAATCAGCCCACCCTGGATTGATATCCTGCCACTGAGGCAGGATTTTATAATTATAAATATAATGTGATGATAATCCTGTTCTAAAAGAATTTTTAGTCTTCACTGTCTCAAAATTCCTGAGCCATCGGACAGGACCTCCCATTACCATGCTGCAATTAACCCTTGTACTTGGTGCAAGAAATTTTTAAGGAGCTATTGGATCATTTCCCTCCCCAGTATTCCCCTTCAATTCAAGGAGAATTCATCCATTCAGAGGATTTTTGCAGGTTTTGTCATAGGGGAGATCATACAATCACATTTATGTTGGAAAAGCCCTCTAAGATCATTGACTCAAACTGTTAAGCCAGCACTGCCAAGTGCTACAAGATCACAGTGATCCTTTAATTTGTTATAATCCACCCCAAAAGCCCTGTCAGGTTCTGACAGTGAGGGGCCAGACAAACCAGAATCCAAAGATCACCCAGCTGCCGAGGGGACATGGCCAGTTTGGGGCACTGGGAGAGGTGCTGGAGCAGGAACACTTTTAAAATCATACAATCATTAAGGTTGGAAAAGACCTCCAAGCTCATTAACATGTCAAAGCCAGTGCTGAGAACTTCAGCACAACTAGTTTTTCAAACAATCTGTACTTTCATCATGTAAAAGATGTGTTTGATGATTTTCTTAATTTATTATAGACTATGAAAGTTTATTTCCTGTTGTTTGCTTTAAACTTCTTGCCTGACCATTGGATGACCAGAGGATATCATCACCGTCCTCTGCCAAAAAGATAGAGTCATACACTGGTTTGGGTTGGAAGGGACCTTAAAAGCATCTCATTCCACCCCCTGCCATGGGCAGGGACACCTTCCACTAGCCCAGGTTGCTCCAAGCCCATCCAACCTGGCCTTGGACACTTCCAGGGATGGGGCAGTCACAGCTTCTCTGGGCAACCTGTGCCACGGCCTCACCACCCTCACCTTAGAATTTTTTCTTAATATCCCACCTAACCCTGCCCTCTGCCAGTGTGAAGCCATTTCCCCTTGTCCTGTAACTCCAGGCCCTTGTAAAAAGTTTCTCTCCATCTTTCTTGTCGACTCCCTTCAGGTACTGGAAGGCCACAATTAAGTCACTCCAAATCCTTTTCTTCTCCAGGCTGAACAATCCCAGTTCTCTCAACCTTTCCTCACAGGAGAGGGGCTCCATCCCTCTGATCATCTTAGTGGCCTCCTCATGTAATTCCTTATTCAGTCTCTTAATTTTACAGCTTAATCCTGCTCATTCTTGTCTTCAGCCAGATCCACAGGCTTGGTCTACCCATCCCATAACCCAGCTCAGCCTCCTCACCCTTTTCTGCATCCCTTCCACTTCCACTTCACCGCTGCTTTCACTGGGATGACTGGAACTACACTCTGCTCAAGAGCAGCACCACGGATTTGTTCAGTGCTGTACTCATATTTTCCTTTTTATTCTCCCTCTCTTTCCCAGTAATTCTTAGCATTCCACTTGCCTTCCTGACCTCTGCTGAGCACGGAGCAGATGTTTTCCAAGAACCATCTGCAGTGACGCCATCACCTCCTTCGCGGGCTAATTTAAACCCTGTCATTGTGCCTGCACTTGACTTTTATCCACATGGAATTTCAGCAGCTATTTGATTGCCCAGACATGTGATATTATCAGATTCTTTTCCAGCTTTTTTTGTAGGCATGTCTAGTTTGCCTTACTTGGAATAACTCTGTACCATCAGCAGGTTTTGGTGCGTCACTATTGTCTGTCTCCCCTTTTTCAGCCCTTTTATGAGGATGTTGAACTGCACAAGTTCCCAAGACAGCTTAATCTCCCTTCACTGCAAAAACTGCACAGTTACTTGTACCTTTTATTTCCTATTTATAGCTAATCCTTGTAAAGTGCCTTGAGAATTTGGAATGAGCTATGCCAAGAAAGCACAATTCCCTTGTAACTCCAAATACTTGAAGCCACCGATGCTTTGATATGCTGTGCTGAAAATTCCAGGAAATTTAGAGAAGGGTTGAACCCTCTTATAAATTTGACAGAAAAGCTTTAAAATTGGGTTTGCTAAATGAAACCATTTAATTTTCTGAGCAGAGGCATTAGTAAAGCAGCAGAGTATTAATTGGCTTCGAGCATTTTGTGGCTTTTAATAAAAGTGGCATCATCCTGTGTTTGATTCAATACAGACTTTCAAAACAAGTTTACAGCAACATGCATTCTATCTCATGTCCCAGGAAGTTATACAAATCTGCTGTATTTCTAAAATCTCCTCTAAAATCACTGCTGTTGAAAACACTACAGAGCATCTTGACAATGTGACAGCTTCTGCTTCTGTATCCTCACTCATCCCTGATGTCAAACTCTAAGGCACATCTCACTGTGCTGAGGGTCTATAGAAAATCTGTAGGGCCTTTATTATAAAGGCTACTGAAAATTTTATACCATCAGCAATACCAAAATTCAGCTCTACTTCCAAAATCACTAAGCATTAAAGGAGCTGCACTGTTTCAGCAGAAGACTTGCAGGAATTTGTTACATGAACTTGATCCTCTGTAGGATGTGTACATCCTGGATACATGATTACTGTGATATTTTTAACTGGAAAACAACTTAACTGACTTTGCCAGGTTTGTGGATTTGTTGCTGGCAGATTTGGGAGCAAAAATTTAGCTCACTTGATCTGGAGGAACTAACTTGGGTCCACAGGGAACAACATAATGAGTACCATAAGGCCCTAATAATGTGCAATTAAAAACGTTTTATTTTCTCCCTCATTTATGTCCTCCTTCTCCTCATTCTCCTTGTCCTTTTTGGAGAGCCCACTCTGCTCTATCGCATCTCAAGGATATATTATTTTAAATTGTTTCCTTTGTGCTCCCTTCGGTTGGCTGGAGCACCTCAGTTTGTCATGCTGGGCCCAGTCTTCTCCACGTCGCTTACTGATGTTGGTTTTTCCAAATTATTTGATGCCAACAACCTCTACAAGCCCTGGGATGCGCTGAAATCCTGTTTCTCTGGAAAAATCTGCATTTGTACCCACGTAGGTGACCTCCTTTTGGATCCTGCCAAGGAAAATGTGGGAGCAGGGGCTGGCAAGTGAAGTCCAACCCCAGCTACCAATCCTGGGCAGTGGCAAGGACTGGGACCAGATATCCAAATTCTCTTGTTTCCAGAAACCTCCTCACAGTGGACTCCAAGATATTGATATATTTGATAGGTGCTGCAAGAACTGATCAGCTAATGCTCTGCACAGGGCTTTGGAGTGCTACATAATTAGCTAATGCTCACACAGGCCTTTGGAGTGCTTTAGAATTTCTAAGTATTATTAATATCCTTGCAGGGAAGCTGTCTAGGCTCAGAACCCACTTTGCAGCGTGCCTCTGGCAAATCTGGGAATGGTGGAATTATGTGGGTATTCATTCCTCATCCTTCATAGATTAGGTATATGGAGCTAAGAGCAGAAATGGCAAAACTCCTCAACTCCACAGCTTTCCTTGGTCTTTGCTGGGATAGAAAACAAGCTGCACCTGATGACATAGTCACACAGCACGATCTGAAGGCACAAAGATCATGGAATCATGGAATGGTTTGGGTGGGAAGGAACATAAAGCTCATTTTCTTCCACCCCCTGCCATCAGCAGGGACATCTTCCACTACTCCATGTTTTTCCAAGCCCCGTCCAACCTGGCCTGGAACACTTCCAGGGATCCAGGGGCAGCGACAGCTTCTCTGGGCAACCTATGCCAGGGCCTCACCACCCTCACAGCCAGGAATTGCTTCCCAGGATCCCATCTAACCCTGTCTCTGTCAGTTTGAAGCCATTCCTCCCTGTCCTGTCCCTCCATCCCTTGTCCCAAATCCCTCTCCAGCTCTCCTGGAGCCCCTTTAGGCTCTGGAAGGGGCTCTCAGGTCTCCCTGGAGCCTTCTCTGCTCCAGGTGAACCCCCCCAGCTCTCCCAGCCTGGCTCCAGAGCAGAGGGGCTCCAGCCCTCAGAGCATCTCCGTAGCCTCCTCTGGACTCGCTCCAGCTGCTCCACATCCTTCTGCTGTTGTTCCCCAGAGCTGGAAGAAGCTCTGCAGGTGGGGTCTCACCTGAGCAGAGTAGAGAGGGAGAATCTCCCTCCTCCTGCTGCCCACGCTGTGGGGATGTAGCCCAGGATACATCCTACAGGGACTATCCATTACCTGGCCAAAGAGGAGAGATGCTGTTACATGAACCTGCTGGAATTGTTCATGTGGAATTGTCCATAGGAATGTATTCTTCCAGTGCAGCACAGAGAAAATACAGATATGAAGGAAACACAATAGAAAAAGAGGGTGTCTCAGTTGAAGAATCCTGATTCTCATCCATAAAACTCCAAAACTGACTTTGTCAGAGCTTTTTCCTATTGACAAAACCCTCCCACACAACAGAACACATTATAGGAGTCAAGTGAACTGAACCTGGCTGGAGACACAGCCCAGGAGTCTTGGGGGAAAGCTGTGAATGTATTTATAGTCTATTCCCTCAGTCTGAAAATCTGCTCTCTCTGAAACGCTTTTCCCTTAAACACTTAGCTCAGAGCAGCCTGTTTGGTCACTCCCTCCTGCCAGAGGGGAAAGGATTGCTGGGCTTGGATCTACATCAGTCCTGCCAAGGTAAATCACAGTTGGCTGATAGCCTGGTATTAACATATCTGGGCCCCAAGTGGTTGTGCTCAGAGGGTCTAGGAATGGTCAGGAGAGCAGTTAGTCTGATATTTCCTACTATTCCCCATCTGAGTTTGCTTCCCCATTGCCCACAACAATCAGCTGTGCCAGCTGAAACGGCACAATTATCCAGACAGGCTTGGTTGTACCTTCTAGCAATGGGGAAAGATGAGCTTTGAATTTGGTCTAAATTGTATTAAAAGGGACTGACAGCAGAATAAAATCTATTTTTTCCTGTTGGATACTGCTCCTGTGAACATGCATAGGAAGGAAGTTATATCCTGCTCTCCATCATACCCATCTAATTCTGGATTCAAAGCTTTTGCTCCAGACACTGCCTGGTATAACAGGATCAGATTGACCCACAGTCTTTACAAGCTTGACCTTCAGCATCCAGTTTCCTGAACACCCATCCTGCCTTCTCCAGAGGGAAGAGACATGAAAGTGGGGAATGGCACCGGGGGGCATTTAGGAGGGATAGGAAGATAACATTAGCAAAGATAAAAGACATCTTGCTCAACCAGCATCTGGGAACTAATTAGGTGTTGAAGGAGCCATTGAGAGAGATGGAAATTCTGTTTGTCTGGCCAATTTTAACGCAGCCAAACAGCCTTTTACTGCATATCCTGCATGGATAATTTATGATGGCTAAGAAAAGACGTGCCCCATTCTGACTCCCAGTGATCTAAAGCTAAAATCTATTCCGTGGTTGGAGACAGTAGAGTCTCCTCCACTAATCACCCATCCATTACTCTCAGATTCCTGAAATAAAAATGGCCAGGGCCAAACTGAGCTGGGGCCACTGCAAACGACCCACTTATGGAGCAGGTTAGTGCAGAACCTTCCACGTTGCTGAAGACCACAAATGGTATCTCCAGGTGGGGCAGCCTGAGGAGCTGACTCATGTCCAAAAGTAATGTAAGATCAGGCAACTCCAGGCTGCCTGTGGGCACAATAAAACACTCCATGAATAAATGCCATGTTGACAAGACTTTACCACCTCCATTAGCTCAGTTATGTCTGTTCCACACTAGTAGCAGGGTGCAGACCTCCCTGTGCAAAGGTGCTCCCCTGGGTATGAACCACTGGCAATAAATGGAAGGCACTCCAATTATTTTTCATTCAAGGGAGCTGCAATGTAGAAGTGAAAATGTTCATTTCACACAGTGAAGGCAGAGGGCTCAGTTCAGCTCTGCCATCATGTTGTTTTTCTCACTGGAGTCAACACTGGATTTATATCAAGTATTTCTTCCATGATATATAAGCATGACAGTTTCTCAGGAAAATATATGAATTTTTCAGAGAAACAATTTATCTTTTCCTAAACCCATCCTGAAAAATCCAGAAATTACTTCTGTTCTGATTGGAGAGAAAAACTACTAAGCACAAATATTTACTTCCAAAAATCACTATACTGGAATATCCTGAAATATCCTTGTTATGGAAATTGTTGGGCAACCTGTCACCTCTGCCACTTATTTTGCCTCTAATAACAAGCTCTGCCTTTCTGTTCAGCCTCCCATGACCATTAGTTTGTAAAGCTAAAGCATTTCATCCCCAAAAAAGCTGGGAAATCATTTGTACTATGCTGTCCATACTCTGGAGAGGTCAACAACTCACCTTGAACACCCACCACTGGACTCACCTACTAAACTACTGCTGCTGTCACCATTATTTTCACTCTGGGATGGATCCAGCACGAGATTGATCTGAACACCATGACTTGTTCCATGTCAAATGAAACATAGAATTAAGGTCTTTCCCAGTGACTGTAAAGCAGGGTGAACATCTCAGTGCTGGATCTCAAGGATCAGCACAGCTAAAGCTCTGTGAAACTTTCAACTAAAATTCCCTCTCCGCTTTGAAATGGAAACCAAACTCTTGTGCCCCCAAATGTGTTGGCAGACAGCTGCTGCATTTCCAGCCTGGCTCTTTCTGACCTTCCTGTCCAGCTGATTTCAGTGGAATATTTGCTGGATTTCTCATCCATGTAACAGATCACACACAGGTGGAACACTTTAAAGCAATTTGGATATTTCAGGATGACAAATTGTTTCTGTTACGGAATACATGTATAATTACTACTAAAATTATATCTGAAACGGCTACCAGGCAATACAATTTTAGCCCATACCAAGGACTGAAAAGTCAAGAGAAAATGAACAGAGCACGTTATAATCAGGAGATAAGTAGTTTTCCAGCTCCTATAAATAGAAAAGGCTGGAAGAACGCATCTGACAAGCAGAAGAAAGTGTGAGGAGGGTAAAATTCCACAGTGTTTTGGCTTTGGACTTCAGAAGGTAGTGAGTATGAGATAGTGTGAAATACAAAGAAGCCTTTGTTGTTTACATCTGAAGTTTAAAAGTGGCACAGTGTGAATAAACAAAGGATGTTCCATGAAACTGCAGCAGGGATTTTGAGCTCCACAAACGACACGTAAACAGAGACATCGCCTCTGTGCTTTAAAAAGGGAAGGAGGGAAACTTTAAAGCCTCCCAGAAAATCTCATTTGCCCACATCTTTAGGTTTTTGATAGGCTTTTAAGTGGTAGAAAAAACACACAGGCTTAATAAGCCCAAGATCTGGATCATTTAGCATTTGCTTTCAGGTTGGTTAAGCTTCTTAGGAACGATAACGGTGCACATGCCTTGGAAAACCTGAATTAGCTGTTTGTTATCTTTTCTGGGAAAATAAGTTTTGCTCTCAAGTGTTGGGATAATATCAAGTAATTTATTTTTTGGCAGACAATAAAACATACTGCCACGGTAATTCCTGATTATTTTACAGGAGCGTGCATTAAGATAATTGATAAGGACGGAATCTAAAGATACACAGATTTAATTAGATATTCAGGGTGATATTTCATGTTGAGCAGTTATGTAGCACTGAATGAGAGTCACAGAATCATGGAATGGCCTGGGTTGGCAGGGACCTTAAAGATATCCAGTTCTAAACCCCCACCACAGGCAGGGACACCTTCCAGTATCCCAGGTTGTTCCAAGCCCCATCCAACCTGGCCTTGGACACTTCCAGGGATGGGACAGCCACAGTTTCTCTGGACAACCTGTGCCAGGGCCTCCCCACCCTCACAGCCAAGAATTTCTTCCCAATATCCCATCTATCTCTGCCCTCTGGCAGTGGGAAGCCATTCCCTGTGTCCTGTCCCTCCAGGTTACTGTAAAAAGTTTCTCTCCATCTTTCTTGTCGGCTCCCTTCACTCCTACTGGAAGGCTGCAATTGAGTCACTCCAAATCCTTCTCTTCTCCAGACTGAACAATCCCAATTTTCTCAACCTTTCTTCACAGGAAAGGTGCTCCACCCCTCCAATCAGCTTGGTGGCTTCAAATGGTATCAATACATATCTTTCAATGCAAAGATCCCTCCTATTTCACAAATCTTTAATAAAACTTGATATTAATTCAAAATATTCTCACCTATTCCCATGGAACAGACAGAGGGTAACTTTTGATAAAACAAAAAGTAAAATGGTTATTGGTTTGAATTTGCTGTGTGTGAGCCAACAGATGCAAACACCTTTTGAATAAGCATGTTCAATCCTGAGAATTTCCACTGGGATCAGTTTGGTTTGGCTTTTTGGATGCTGAAATCAACTGATCTGAGCATAGAAGGCAGGGTAATGCTCTCGGTCACACACTTTGCTTTTACTGCAGTGAATCCCAAGGATGCAAGGAGCTCCAGGAACCAGAGACATGCTCAGGAGGCTGGCAGGTCTGATAAAACACTGATGGGGACCCCCATCCCACTGGAATGATGCCAAAAGGATGGAAGATGCCTCTCCAGGATGTCACAAATGTCACTGTGATATTTGTGCATCAGAATTAAAGCCCAGCAGTCAGTCCAGGCACCAAAACAACCAGAACTGATACAGCACGAAAGGGAAAAAGGCACAGCTGGGGTCACACAGAGGCTACTAAATCCAGAGGCACTCACTGCATCACCTTGCTAGGGACACATCCCAACAAACATTCCTCTGGAATCAGCTCCACAGAAGTTATCTGTGAAGATAAAACTGCTGGAGAGTTAAGCACAGCAAAATAACACACAATTAATCCAGTTTCTCCAATCCCTATCCATCTACAGACTCTTCCACTAAACCAGGTTGCTCCAAGCCCCATCCAGCCTGGCCTGGAACACTTCCAGGGATGGGGCAGCCACAGCTGTCAGGGTCTCACTACCCTCTGAGTAAAGAATTGCTTCCCAATATCCCATCTATCCCTGCCCTCTGGCAGTGAGAAGCCATTCTCCTTTCTCCTGTCCCTCCATCCCTTGTCCAAAGTCCCTCTCCAGCTCCCTTGGAGCCCCTTCAGGCACTCTAAAGTTTCCCTGGAGCCTTCTCTTCTCCAGGTGAAACCCCCCAGTTCTCCCAGCCTGGCAATGATTTAACACAATCCCCTTTCTTCTACAATTCAGAAAATTGGTTCAGTGCAGCAAAACTATTTTACCAGAGCAGGAGAAAAAAAAAAAAACAAACACTTGGATGGAACATCAGCTGCAAAACCAGCTCAGTTTGGCAGCCACTAAAAATGCTGCAAGTACAGCAACAAGGGTGAAAATAAAAATCCTTTACAAGAAAACAGGGAAAATCCTTCAGCTTCAGCTCCTTGACACACCATCCCTGAACGAGCATCTTCTGTGTAGCTACTGCTTCTGAGCACACAGAGAGCAACTGTGGGTCCAGGGGACCTAGAACCCAAAATCACAGAATTACAGAGTGGTTTGGGTTGGAAGGGACCTTAAAGATCATCTAGTTGCCACCCCACAAGCTACTTTTTAACTCCACATACCTTTGATCAGCAACAGATTTCTTCCACAAGCTCTTTTCACCAGCTACAGTGATTTTTTATTAGAGGTGCACCTTAGGCTTGGAGAAAAATACCACTAAAGGAAACCTCCAGAGCTTCTTTAGCTTATCCACCCTCTCCAAGCTCTGCCTACTCCTTCCTGGAAGAGTTTAGACACAAACAACTCCCATAGATGTGATTAGCAACCCTCACCACAAGCACACCCCACAGGAGAGGGGATTTGAATGAGATTGACTTGCAACAAGTTAATTTGTCGGTAAGCTCAGAAAACACAAGACCATTTTGGACTTCAGGGTCAAATTCCACCCATTGTATAAAGCTCCCACCACCAATGAAATGGATTTATGTGCCTGGAAAGGAGATTTGAATCTGGCCATTAGTAAAACAAAACACTGAGCTGATTGAGGCTGGATGGGAAGCAAAGAAAATGCAGGGAATGCACTTTACATTTCAGAGAGAACCTGGCATTTGCAGCACATCATCTTCCTGCCAGCTACAGAACAGCAGTGACTTGGCAGAGCTTCCATGGCCAGATGTCACCCTCATCTGGCTCTCTTGGCTCAGGCTGCTCCTTTGAAATGAACAGCAAAGCAGGGCCAGGATGGCTCTGCCTGGTGCTTCTTGCACAAGGAACAGAAGCAGGAAAGGTCTTCTGGGCAAACCTGGCATTGCTTTGCAGCATTTTCAGCCCTCAGCAGGCAAAATCTGGGAGGTGGAAGAAGAGTCAAGAATAAAAAGGGACAGAAGAATTTGTTTGACAGCTGTCTCTCTTCAGGTGATGGATACAGCACAAATCATCTCCCCGAGTACTTTCCCGTGGCAGCTTTGAGCATGTTTTGGCCCTCAAAGTCCTGGGTGCATCTCCCAGTGATAAAACACTGTTATATTTCTTTCTTCAAAGGCATTGCTGAGTCTCTACTCCCCCGCAGATTTTCACCTGGTTGTTTTATTTGAGGCTCAAGAGATCCTTGAAATGAGATGATCCTTAAGATCCCTTCCAGCCCCATTCTATGATTCTATGATTTGTTTCCTGCATTTTGACTATATTACCATAAACAAAGGGAAAGAGAAAAACATCAGGGTTTTTCCCCACCTAAAACCTGCCTGATTTCTAGTTAATTGCTATTTAAGCTATTGGAGATGTATGATAAATATGGAGGTACACAGCCTACATAATCCTCCTAAAATACAGTGCTTTAGATACAGCAGAAGGGCTGAACTAACAGCCAAATTTGTGGGGTTTTGATGTGGCAGCAAAGTCCCAAACGCCTTTAGACCCAGGAAACAAAAGAGAGAAGCACAGCCCATCCTGGTTAAGCCTCCCCACGTGACTGACCTTGTATCAGAAGGAGAATTACTTCTTAAACCGAGAGCCTGAGAGCACGTGTGTGTTTGTATACACACCACTATGTGTGATAAGGAGGCTGCTCCGTGGCAAAACCTGCCAACAATCCCGTTTTTTTTCGTTGCCATCTGCTCAGAAGAGAGCAAGCACCTGTTAGGAGCAGCTGCTTGAATGCAGAACGTAGGTAAGAGAGAAAAATCAGTTGCGTTTTGGAGTTGGCCTGCTGCAGGTAGCACATGGCTCTCGCCGCCGAGGGTGCCAAGTGGTCCTTTTTTAAGTTTGGCCTAATTAAGAGCGTCAGGAAACCTCAAAAACTGTTCAGTTAGGTGCTTACAGGGAGCAGAGAGAAATTATGGGGCTCCCCAATGCACTGCTCCCCAAAACACCTCCCCAGTCTCCACGGGGGTCTCTGCCCTCTCCCCTCTGTTTTCCTTGCTCTGAAGCCAGTGGAGCATTTGGAGCTCGGTGTGTGGCTCGGTGCCTCTCTTGGCAGGGCAGGGCTGCACCAGGACATGTTGCTCCCAGGAATCACAGCGTTCCCAGCAGCCCTCGACTCCTTCCTTTGGACAACAACTGCTTCCCTGTCGCTGCCCCTTTGAGTCCATCTCCGTGTGGGCCCTTTGAGGGATTTACAGGAGGGAAGAGGGGACTCGGTCCAAGCGCTTGCTGTGATCAAGGCCGTGGGCACCAGCAGATGCCAACCCTGCCAGGCTGTCCTTTCTCCAGGGGAAGCAATGGGGGTTCCACCAGCAAGAGAACTTGGAGTGGGCAGGAAAAACACATTAAAGGATTTCCCATACTCGTCCAAGTGTTATATCTGAGATCATAAGTCAGCGTGGCCTCTCCCACCACGGATGGTCTCAAATCTGCTGCCCTTAACACACACTTATGGCATCTGTGCTCCTATTGAGGGAATAAGGTCATTCAGTTCATTCTTTTCCAACCTCCCATGGATTGTTCCTAATTTTTCCTCAGCAAGCAAAGCTTTGTGTTCCATGGCTGAGCTAGTCCTGCAGAGTCTGTGTGACGTGGTCACTCACCTGATAAAAAAAACCAGCACCTGCCCATCCCAGGGTGTGTGACAAGGCTTTTGGTCCTAAAAATCAGCCATCCTGCAGGGGATTTTCCTGTTCCCCTTTCCCACATAGCCCTACATCTAAGAATCATGTGGGGAGGTACAGTAAGGAGCTCCTGTCTCCATCAGCAACAGAAGGTCAGTGGATGGGCTTCCCTTGAACAGGGAATATTTGTGATAGGCACAAACACAAACGTCTTCCCATTTTTCTCTTTCCCTCTTTTCCCTGCTTCCTCATTTCTTTGTCCTCCACTTCTTGTCTTCCCAGTCCCTTCTGATTTGCCCTGTGTCACTATCCTGTGCTGTGAGGACAATAAATATTTGGCTCCTCTAACCTTTTTATAAATAGCATCCCCGACTCATTTGACCCCAGAGATTGACATTTTCTTAAATGGCAGGCCAGAACTGGTCCAAGTGTCACAGCCTGTGAAAATACAGAGGCTTATTCACACAGGCACTGCCTTGAGAAACAAGAGATATTCCCAAAGTGGTTTTGAGGCTCCAACCTCTGTGATCTGCATTACAGTTCAGCTGGATCAAATGCTGAGGAAAAAAAAACCAACCCAACCCTGATTTGTGGATGGGAAAACACTCATTCAGATCCAGCCTGGGCTATGGAAATAAGAGAAGTATGAGAGGTTGAGAGAGAAATCACATTTCTCCCGCTTGTAAAGGAGTAAATTTGCTCTCGATGCAATGAAAAACACATAAAATCACACAAAGCCATCCCACAGAGTCACTTCTCCCTGCAAAGCTGCACTTGAAATCGTGTGGTTTAGCACAAATACCGTCGGTCAAGCAGGAATTTTTTTCCCTAATGCAGATTTCCTACTGTAAGTACATCTGTGAGCATATAGATCCTGCCTCCTGGGACAGGCCTAATGGGCTCTGCATTCACTCTGCCTCATTTCTTTGGAAAGCACTGGCTCTGCAGTGGGAGGATTGAATAGGGGCTTTCACTGATGGATGTTTTTTTCCTTCTGAATTTAAATGTACAAACAGAGATCGTGGGTTATTATTGCTGAGAGAAACAACAGAAAACACAAGAGCCATAGACTGGGGAGTCAGTGACACAGAAACACTCAAGGACAGGAGGAGCTAATTAATGTTACCCTCTAAATCAGCCATGTATTTCCTTAAGTGCCCCTGTCCCCAGTAGCCAAAGGGCAGTGAGACAGGAGCACATGGAGAGGGCAACTCAGGCTGTCCCAGCTCCTTTCGGCCAACAAAGCCCATTTGGTGGTGAGAAACCTCCTCCTGCTTTATATCCTGTGATTCACAGATGGATTTGGGCTCTTGGAGAGGAGACAGGGATGTTGAACAGCTCAGTGCTGACTTAGCACGTGGAAGAAAAGAGGAGGAAGCTGGTGTTGAGCTCAGTGTTACAGATCATGAGAGCAGAAATCCAAGGTGTCCGTGCCTTGGAGCATGAGGGTATCCCACCAGGAAAGCTTTTCCACGGGCACAGCTAAAGAAACACAGGTTAAATCCATCCTTGAGAGCAGCACAGGTGCCAGTGAAGCTCTACTACAAAGCAAATCCCCAAAATATTAAAATATGAATATTTTTCCCATTTTTACCACTCGGACTCAGATGAAGAACCCTCACGTCGGGAAGACCTCAGTTTCTAAAACAATCTGGTGAAAAGTCCAAACTCTCCTGCCTTCTCAAAAAAAAATAAAAAATTTCCAGTGACTGAAAGAGAAAAAAAGGAGAGGAAAAAAAAAAAAAAAAACCAAAAACCAAAAGGCTTGTTCATGCTGTTACAGTTTAGGAACTGCTGGCATCCCTGTCTCTGAGAGGAAGGGAGAGGAGAGCTGACTGCTCAGCAGCTGAGAACGTGTGTTCTGGAAGCAGCTCCCGGAGCAGATGGTGCAATGATTACTGCCAGTAAATGTTAGAGCCCTCTTTTCCTTCTTCTTTTTTTTTCCCTCTTTTTTTTTTTTAAAAAAAAAAAGAACAAAAAACTTGAATTCTGAACAACAGGGGGAAAATAATTACAAAGAGCACATGAAAGCAGCTTGATTTCCTCTCTTTTCCTTCCCTCCAAGTGTGTGTGTGTCTTGTTCCTTGCTAATACCTGACGCTGCAGAAGTGGATGTTCCCTGGGCTTTGCTGGGATGTGAAAATCCACCACCAAGCACTTTGTTCTGAGGAGTTTAACAGGGCTGTTGTGCTCCAAGCTGAGTGTTCACTGGGAAATAAGGAGCTGTGGGATCATGTGCTGTGTGTAGGACATTAAAAATGAGATCCAGGGAAAAGGAGGAGGGCTGCAGCTGCATTTTTTGTAAGGTGTATTTATTGTAAGGTGTCCCTGCCCATGGCAGGGGGTTGGACTAGATGGTTTTTAAGGTCCCTTTCAACCCAAACCATTCTGGGACATGATGATTCTATGATTGTAGCCCACAGTTCAGCCTTTAAATAGTCACCCTGCTGGCTTCTGGTGTGGTAAATAGTACTTTGGCCAAGCAGTGGGAATTATTTTAGGGCTATGAGTCTCCCCCTCATCACAGGTGGGTCTGACTCCCCTGGGGACCCCCTCTTCTGCCAGCCCCTCACCCAGCTCTGTGGCTACAGATCCAGGTACATCCCACCAGTCTCCTGGCCCCATCTCCCCTTCTGATGTGTCTGAGCAGCCCTAAAACATTTCTACCCCCATCAGCTCCCTTGTTCCTCTCTCTCTGTCCCACCCTTCTTTCTTTCCACCCTTAAAATTTGATTTTTTTTGATTTTTGCCTTCCAGCAGGGCAGCTTGTCCCTCCTCATCTCACTGGGTGTAATTGCTTTAAAACCCCTGAGGAGCTCGACTCCCAAATTTTTAAAGAGCAAACATCAGCCTGGATGGAAAGGAGCATCCCTGTCTCTCGAGTTTCCCTGGAAAACAGGCTGCAGCCCCAGGCCAGGTGCAGTCAGAGCAGCACCACACAAACCCTGCAGCATCTCTTGAAGGCTCCAGCTTTCAAATGCTGTGACATCTCTCCCAAATGTGTGTTGGTTTCTGGTTAGTTTTGGTTTGTTTTTGTTTTTTTTTTTAATGTCTGTAAATTAAGAAAAGCCAGGGAAATTTCCACAGGGAGAACAAAAAAAAAGCAGGATGTGCGCAAAAAGACGCCTCCTTCCTGAAATTCAGATCCCTGCTCTGCAGCGGGGAGGGACC